TCAAACGGCCCCACGCATGATTTCCGAAATAAAATTGAAACCAATCAAGAACTTCTAACCCAGACAATTTGATGACCTCTCATAACTAGTTGTTGAGGAATACTTGTATTTTCAGAGAGATATCATGAAAGAAAATAAAGATATACCAAAAACCAGACCCCTGGGGTCCGTTTGGACCCCACAACCCGGAATGAGGGTTAAATATTTTATTACTTGGGGACCCCGTGTGCTAGTTTGTACGTGACGCGTGTGGGTTACAATGAGGGCTGCGTCCCACCCGCCTGTGTGGATTCACATGAACCGTGAGTTACGAAGTCGGAAGAACATGTTGAACTGTCTCTACTGGGTTGACAGCTAAACCATAGCTCAGTGATTAGAGCATGGCTGGCCTCAATCGAAGCTCCCTAGTTCGAGTCCTGGTGGTGACAAACATTTTTTTCACTCTAGAATTTTCCCATTGGTATCTTTCCCTCAAATCAATGAATAATGTGCAAAACGAGTTTGGAAAAGATACTGCTGCAAGAAAGACACACATTGAGAGAGATCAAGCATGTAAATCAATAATTGCACATCAAAGGTACTTGTATATCAATGCAGTCGAACTGATGCTGATGCTTTGCAATGTGAATATGTAAATGACGCTTCAAATCGGGGAGGGAATCTAAAATTGTCAATCTGGGAGGGAGACAATTCCAAAGTGAACCAGTTTTATGTAGAAATATATGCGGCTTCGGGATCGCCTATTCGCCAAGGCCAAACGTCTCGGATCTACAGATAGTTGGATAGCGTATAGACTCTCACGTAACTGTCTTACTTCCTTGCTCCGGAAGGCGAAACGCCATTATCACGAGAGCATGGCGAGAGACATGGCTCAGCATCATGGAACCCGTACATGGTGGCGCAAAGCAAAGATCCTTTGTAATGCGAATCGCCCGTCTCCGGTTATCCCTGACCTCTACCATGACAACCAAGCCTACCCAGCCACGAGTAATACGGAAAAGACGAATCTCCTAGCCAAAGTGTTTGCGAGCTACAGCCAGGCGCCACTACTAACACCTGACCTGCACTCAGCTGGTATTTTAACACCCACGACGATGTCAGCGAACGCACTGCGCAGGCCTCTGCGTATGCATTGCGTCATCGATTTTTTGAACGTGATCGCGGCCGACAGAGAAAACATGGCCGCGGTCTGTTTGCACCGCTGGGAGTCGTAAAATTACTGTTCTTCTGTCCCCGCGACCATTCAAATCATACGCGATACTCGAGGACCCACGAACTCACCACGTTCTCCCCGGTCGATTTCTCTGAAAGTTTGCACATCGTGAAACACCAGTATGAGAGGTGTTCAGGCCCATTTTCAAGGAATTTCCCTGGTTGGATCGTTCCAAAATCGGACTTCCATTTCTCGTTCGCGGCCATTTCTTGCGCGATGGAAGCGCCCTGCCCTGGTGAGTAACCAGCATCGCGCTTGGTAGAGAGTTGCTGCAATCAGCTCCCTGATGTCTTCGCTGCCATTGTCAGAAGCGACGGACCATGAATTTGTTTGAGAGTCTCTGGATGCTACTATTCCTCAGCCTAGTTTTCAGCCATTCCGTGCATCTTCTTCGCACGATTTATTTTGCAAAAAAATGAAAGTGTTCATGAGTTTTCTTGTCGGCCGCGCGTAGATGGGCCAGGCTGACCTGCGCAGATGGGCTGGGCAGTGCGTTCGCTGATATCCCTAAGGGCCACGTCCACTGTGAAGTTCTCCATACAACCATTCTCTGTGCAGTCCGTATTTGACACGCTATCCAGACTTCCCATTCAACGTAAAACCGCTGGACTGCTGAACAATCGCATCCTCCGTGAAACAGCGGAGGTCACGTCACAGTCTCTTTCCGCCCTTTTCAACCGCTGCTTGCTGTCCAGTACTCAGCCCAGGGAGAGGAAATCTGCCGTTGTTGTACCTGTGTTCAAGGGAAAAGGTAATCCTTCCCACCCAGTCAATTACCGTCCTAGTATATCGCTGTTAAATGCAGTTGCCAAATTGTATGAGTCTATGATTAGCCGTCAGTTTTACTCGTTTGTTGAGAGCCATAAAATTATCAGTTCCAGCCAGTTTGGCTTTTGTCGAAAGAGGTCAACAGTTGACCAATTGGTACAGCTTACCTCAATTGTTTCGCGTGCATTTGACTCTAAGTCTTCTTGTGACCAGCTGTTTCTTGATTTTTCTAAGGCCTTTGACAGAGTTAGTCATCATTTAGTTATTCAATCTGTTTCAGGTTGGTGTTCTCTTTCTGCCTGTTCTTGGGTGAAGGACTTCATCAGTGATCGTAGTATCTGCGTTCGCATTGGCCAAACTCTTTCTGACCCTTTGCCCATCACCGCTGGCGTACCCCAAGGTTCCCATCTCGGCCCGCTTCTTTTTAACCTGTGCATCAACTCCTTTCCTGATGCCCCTGCTTCTAGTACCCTATCCCTTTTTGCTGATGACTCTAATTTAATTCTTGTTTCTCCAGCAAACACCTCACTTACTATCCATCATGCATTGCTCCAGACTGACATTGATAAGTGTTGTCAATGGTCATCAGCTACTGCCATGACGTTTAACACCAGTAAATGCGTCCACCTACCCTTTCAAAAATATGCATTAGCCCCGGCCCGTCATCCCCCTTGACAATGAATGGTGTGCCTATTCAGAAAGGTGATAGCCACTGTCATCTCGGCGTGACTATCACTCCTTCACTAAATTTTTCTGACCATATAAAATCTATCACCCATAAGTTTCGCAGTCGTGTTTTTCTGTTGCGCCATATGGCCCATTTCCTTTCTGCTTCAACCGTGAATTTGCTCTACAAGTGTTACGTACGACCACTGTTAGAATACGCAGTCCCTGTCTGGTCATTCGCCGTATCCCATTCAGATTCGCTTACGTTAGACCGACTGCAAGCCGTTGCTGCTCGTTCATATCTGCTTTGTAAGACCCGGCACCCTCCTGAGTGGGAAACCCCGAAGCAGATTCTTAATCGTACTTGCGACTGGTCATCCCTGAAGTGGCGTCGTCAGATTCTGTCCTTGCTGTATTTTCATCATGTCTTTTACCAGTTTCCGTCTTTGCTAATTCGTTTCAAATTCAATGTATCTCTTAGTTGTCGTCACCCGTCCTCTATAGTTTTACCTCGTTCTGGCGCCCATTTCCTTAAATCCCCTCTCTTCAGATTATCTGTGGAATGGAACAAACTTCCAGAACACATTCGCTGCGTTCAGTCCTCTGTCAATTTCCGCATTGCTCTAAAGGCTCATTACTCACAGCATAGATATTCTCTGACTGGAATTCCGAACTTTTCCGTTTGATAATTTTTTTCCTTGAAATTAATCCTTGCTGGGTTTTTTTCATCAAATGTCCCGCTATTAACTGCAGAGGTGATTTCTTCCCTCGTCGATTTCTTTCCTGCTTTTATGTATCTATTATTGCACGATTAAAGAGGTCAATATATGAAATATAGAACGAGTAAAAGACCGAGGTCCCCCGAGGTCTTTTACGAGGTCTATATTTCATATATTGACCGATTATGAGGGCAATAATAGATTTATCACGACATAGCATACCTAAAACTGTTTTTGCTTTGCTATAGGAAGAAAGGAATACTATTGTAATAGTATAATAGTATGTACATATGCCGTTTACATTGGACATTACTTCTGTGTAAACTGAAGTTTTCAGTTGTCTCTTGTAGTATGTTCCCCAAGTTCTTTGACTGAGAATCTGACAGTTTGGGTTCAAATCCCAGCATTTGGCTTCAGATTTTTCTTCTTTCAATTCTGATTTTTTTCTAAGTTGAGGAAAAAGTTCTAAGTCCTCGGGCTAAGTGGTCAATAATAAGTGGTCAATATAAGCGGTCAATATATGCTGATATTTGACCGCTTAGAGATCACAAGTTTCTGTGGGGGTCAATAATAAGAGAGTGATAAACCTCGATATTTAGGTACTTGTTTCCCTTCTTCCCATGCTTCATCTTCCACTCTCCTCTCCCCCATTTCCCCATTTTTCTTGCGATATTTATGTAGGAGACTTCCGTGATTTGCTTTTGGAGAATCCTTTTAAATAAATACAATACAATACAAATAGGGAGGGAAAATGCGACCATGTGAGTTGCTTGTAAACATTTCGAAGTCTGAAGAATATGTTGAACGGTCTCTCCTTGGTTGACAGCTATAGCTTACGGTATCGTTGGCCTCAAACAAAGGTCCCTGATTCAAGTCCTGGTGGTGGTGCCAATCATTTTTTCTTCAGACTTTTCCCATTAATTTTGAATCTTTCCCTCAAACCAATGAAGATGTGAGTAAGAGATGAGGTTTGAGCGGCTATGGGCGCTACTACCTGAGACGGTAATCGCAAAGTGGGAGAGATAAAGTTACTCTGGGTAAAATAATTGATGTAGTTAAATAAAGACAACTAGAAAATGAAAGACGGAGAAATTGCAGGGATTTTAATTGACACAGTCTACCGGAATTCAACTTCAATTTTTGATTCACAGTTGATATACTCAGCCTACTCGAGCTCACGTGATGAGGGTTGAATTGCCATAAACATCTGTTGTTTTTGCAGGCAGTTTTGCTTTGTTGCAGATTTGAGGATTTGAAGGCGACTAACAAGTCTATAGTAAATACACGAGCTTATCGAAAAGCTAACAATTCTTGCCTGAACATTGTACTCAATACTTATGTGGAAATAGGAGAGGTCTAAAATCTATTCCGCATAAACTAGGTGACAATAGTGTAAAAGTCAATTTAGTTGTCACCAAGAGTTTCGTATTCTGGACGAAGCATCAGAAACCAGCTATTGGTGAAGCGCCATAATGGTCGGACTAAGAACAAGCTTTAAAACTCAATGGTTTTCCACCATCTTTAGCATGTATAATAGCTTCTTCTTGTTGTCATGAGCACTCTTGAAAATAAAGCACACCTTAGCTCTCGGATTCACTGTACATGTTTCTGGTATTATAACATTGTCATTTCAGTGGTAGACCGATGCAATGGTAGTTCTACGTTTCAATGTCACACCAACAATGGAACGGCTGATTTCTTTTGCCAATGTCCCACTGGACGCGTGTATAACGGTATTGACTGTGTCAACACTTCGAGTTGCGATCCTGATGATCGTTCCCAGTCATGCAACAAGTATCCAGTTTGTCCGTTTAACAACCAATCCTTCACGTACGAATGCAGCTGCAGGACAGGACTAAAACTCGTCAAGCATCTCTGTGAACTTGCGAATGAGTGCTCAGAAGGGACGCACACGTGTGACGTCAATTCCTACTGTACCAACACGTTTGCTAACTTCACGTGCAATTGTAAACAGGGCTACGCAGGTGAGGCCATTGCACATTACCTCCTGTCATTCAGCAACCCGAATGCCTGTTAACATTTCCTTCTGTTGTCTGTTGACTCAAGTGAACAGGGGTAACCATAGGTAGCAGCCATAGTTTTCTTCTTTTTTCACTTGTGAATTGTATTTTACACTTACTGTCTGTACTGCATGGCACATCATGAAAAAAGACAGTACAAGGAGGTGAAGAGTATAGTGTAAAGAGAATAAAATTATAGTAATCCAATATCCGAGCACAGTATTTACTAGGGCTGCAACGAATATTCTATTTCACAAACAAACGAATACTCATCCATAACGAACGAATAACGAATATTCTCTCAAATTTCTGAATTATCTCTAAGGTTGAAACAATTATTTAAATAGGAACTAAATCGATTTTTTTGTAAATGAATCGAATATTCTATACCAAAAGAATATTAGAAAGAGTTTGGCTAGTCCCCAGTTGTTCTAGACCAAGTAGATGTCTAGTGGAGTCATGTCCACCACTCTTGTGAGTCATAGTCCCCTTTCTCAACACATAACAAATGTACATATCACTCCATCTGTTCAAGAATTACTACAAATTGATCGACAGAAGCAGAGTGTGCGCACGTTTCAAAACGAAAAAGGGGAAAATATTCCTTCCATCGGGTTCCTAACGAATATCAGTCGAATATTCGACTATTCCTTGCAGCCCTAGTATTTACCATAATAAGAATCTGCGGAATATGAAATAATTTGACTTATCATGTACGACCCACCTAGGCCTAAACAACAACCAGTTGAGCAGACGCCTCAGGCATAGGTACCTTCACGGCTTAAACCATCATACAAAACACGTTTTATTGGCCGGCTCAGAGCGTAGCGAGGGAAACAAGTATGCGAGGGTTATAGTGAGATGGTGTTCTAAACACAGTGCCACTAAATGAGAACAGTACGTAGATTTTCGTATCGAAATGTGTTGCCTACAGTCGAAATTCTAAACTTCCCTAAGTACCTTTAATTTCAGCTGTCTACTGCTAGTACACTGGTACATAAAGGTGTGAGCGGATGTGTATACCGGTATATGTACTTCCAACTGCATTTGTCTAACCAGTCCGGACTTATTCCTCTTCAACGCCACTTTGAACCCTTTGCAATGAATCCAATCTGCCTTGAAGTGACTTGCCTAATATGCTCTATCCTTTGTTGTGTTTGTTTTTGCTACTGATTACAAAAAGGAGACGGCCTGTTGTGCGTTGATGTCGAAGAATGCAGAGCAGCTAATGCAAATTGCGGCAGCAACAGCAGATGTGTCAACTCACTGGGAAGCTACTTCTGCGCATGCACAGCAGGATTCATTCGGTCAAAGCCCCCTTCAATCATTGGTGAGAATTCCCGTGGAAAGAAGTATTTTGTGTCGCAGAGTACACTTTCTACTTGGAGAGCACAAAGAAAAGACTTGAAATAGAACACTGAGGTAAGTAAGTAATTAAATTATCGTGTCCGTTCCCGAAGGGAACTCACGACGGCCGCTAACGCCTGGTCAACCCTAGCGGCAGATGCAGCGCCTAACGGTGGGGGTGAGTGGATAAGTCTCACAACCACTGGCACAAGTGCCTAGAACGACCCCATTAGCTGCATCCATGTACCCCTTGTGCCTGGCCACAAGTTCCCAGTTGACTGTGGGTAGCAGCACGGCTGGAAAAACCGCTCCCAGGCAGGACTTGAACCAGGTACCTCTCGTACCTCAGGTACCTCTCGTATCTCAATCATAGTCTTTGACCAACCCACTGTGCCTGCCTGAGGTGATGATGACAATCCATTTAAAAAGAGAGGAGGACTGACATAGGACTGGGTTAAAGCTCGATTGGACTAAAAACGCCCACCTACCATCCTGTTCTAATCCTGATGGTATGGTATTGATTTATTGGAATTCGGTATCTCAACAGTACAATGTACAACTGATATCAGCATCCACTGTGCAGACTGCCTTGGATCAACCAAAAACGGTCTTTTGAGGGGTCCATTTTATGGAACACCCTGCCATCCGACGTGCGTGGTATTACCCAGTACCACCAGTTCAAACAAGCCTGCCTCCCGTTCTGTCTTGCTAGCAGTAGCACCCACTACTGAACACTACAGGAATCTTTGAACGTTTGCGGTACTCCACAGTACCAGTCATGTGCTGTTTACCGACTCCCCGTTGTTGTATTCTAACGTTAACGTTATTCATTGACTGAGCGTTCTTTGCTTTGTACTACACCCTGCTATCATGTTAGGCTATTTCCTACAATATTTTACTGTTTCCATTCGCTTCCATGTAATTGGGCGACACCGCCCGTTTGGTTCTGCGAATTCAAATAAAAATGTACCTACCTACCTAGCTCAATTCGCCCTTGCAACTGATAATTATCTTTCAGCTTTGTGATCACCAAATTAGTGGGATTTCGACTTTTGGTGTTTGGTTGTTGCAACCCCCAACCCCATCCCCCCCCCCCCCCCCCCTAGCCCTTGCCGCATAATGCTAGAAAAAGTGCCAGATTCTGATGGAACAGCAGTAAGATTACCAAAACAATACAAACATTGTGACAGGATTTTCTTTGAATTCTGCTCCGCTTCCTTATCCACGTGCCAATAATGCATGGCGCGTACCAGAAAATGTACCAAATTCTGTCAATGTTTTTGCAAGCATTATCCGCCAATGGTTACCCCCTGCCCCATCATTGAAGAGGTACATACACTAGCTGATAATGGGACGCCGACGTCCCACGGAAGCTTTAAAAGGCGGTACTTGACCTGCCCGGTTTGCGAGCCCGAAAACATTTTTAGGGAGCATACTTATTGAAAAGTGATAGTGGTGCTACCTGGTCCTATCTAGACCGGGACACTACCTCGTCCTGATTCTATGGTGCTACCTGCTGGGCAGCTTACGCTTCTCCTTCCGATTGGAACTGAAACTTGACTGACTCACGACTGGCATTCAGAGCGGAGACAAACTTCCCACTCGGCAAGTACATGTACATAAGATGGACTCAAAAACCTATTTGCTACAACTTTTTCAGATTACACTGTATGTGTCTGAAAGGATATCTGTGCTTTGTACATCTGTACTCTGGTTTGAATTGTCTTAGGTGACACAGACTGTGTCAATGCTAACGAATGCCACTCACAGCCGTGTGGAACGGGTGCTAGCTGTGTCGACACGCCGGGGTCATACTATTGCCAGTATACTAGTACTGGCTTAGGTATGTTTGACAACAATCCATGTATGCCCACCTACACCATAGTCATAAACGAAACTGTACTGTACTGTTATTCTGCTCCATCCACACCATTGGAGTCGCAGTTTTATTTCTCAGATGTGTTGTTTGTTTGTTTGTTCATTTATTTACGGATTCTCCAGAGGTAAATGGATACCTTTTTTCTTTTTTTTTATGTTTGTTTGAATTCGGATAGCTCAACAGTACAGAAGCACAACTACAAAGAGTACCGAATAGAAAGCCCCGAGAACGGGAAACCAAAAACAAAACAGCAACATCAAGTTACTGATTATGCACATTGCTTGAAAGCAAATCACAACAATGATTAAGAGTTGTCTTTTAGCCAAATAGCCAATTTGACGCGGAAATCTGCGATAGTAGTGCAGGACTTCAGGTCGTCCGGTAAATAATTCCAAACAAGAGCCGATTTACTTGAAAAGGACAGAAAGCCAGACATAGATCTATAGCGATTGATACTCATGTTATGAGTTGTAGAGCCGCGAGTAGTTCGGGTAGACGTACAGATGGGAAAAAGGGACTGCAAGCAAACAGCCGGCTTAATACAGTAACAGTGGAAAATAAATACAAGGAACAAAAATACTGATCGATATTGGAAAGAGGAAACTTTGAGGTGGTGAAGAAGTGGCGTGATATTAGCTTGGGGTGATGCGCCACAAGCAACTCGTACAGCGCGCCGGTGGAGTGAGGCTAGCTTGTTTCTATTTTTAGCAGATATAAACGAAAGGTATACTGTACAGGGAGAGCATATTCTAGATCAGGCTGAATAACACCGACAACGAAAGTACGGCGGGCAAACAGGTTCATCTGGCGGAAAGATCGACGCAGTACACCGATCTTCCGTTAGGCTTTCCGGACGACATTGTTAATGTGTTGGTCAAAGGACAGCTTATTGTCAAAAACGACTTCTAAGCATCTGGTGCTTTCCACTTCCCCTAGCGTAACATTTGACAAGGTGATTTGCAGTTGTTGCCTTTGTTGTTGTTGCTGACTCCCTGTGGCACGTTTGGGATGGATTTGCATGACAACGGTTTTGTCGGTATTTATCTCCATACCAATGGAGCCAAGGTGGTTGTTTAGTATCTCCAGTGCAGATGACAACTTGGCTTCGGAACGCGCCTTCGACGGATCACTAGAGTAGACTGTCTTGTCATCCGCGAACATCAGTAACTTTGAGCCCGCTGTCTCCGCAAGCCGGGAAAGGTCCCTCAGGTAGACATTAAAGAGGGTAGGGCCTAAAATACTTCCCTGAGGAACTCCTCGAGACACTGCAAGACTTGAAGACTGGCTGGCTTGCGTGACGACACGCTGAGATCTCCCGGCGAGGTACGACGCAAACCAACGCAGGGCGCTTGCATGAACCCCCATGCCATGGAGCGCAACGAGTAACTGTTAATGCTGGACGCGATCAAACGCCTTGCTGAGGTCGACAAAGGCTACACTGGTAGTCTCTCCGCGGTCCTGGGCCAGTTTCCAATCATTTACAGCAAGTGTGAGCAGTTGTGTCGTGGAACGAGCTGGTCGGAACCCAAATTGGTGATCGTGGAGGTGATTTTCGATGGTCAAACTGTCACATACCTGATTTAGAACCAGGCGTTCCAGAGTCTTAGCCAGAATCGACGTGAGTGACACAGGACGATAGTTCGAAGGAGAAGTAGGATCGCCCATACGGGATTTCAATATCGGCGTGACATTAGCCTGTTTAGCATGTACACCCGTGATGTCCCTGCCATAGCCCATCCTGCTCCATCTCTGCAATTTGCCGATGACATTGCAGTGCACTGCCACAGAAAATCAGTGCTAGCCACATCAGCCTGCCTGTCAGGGGCCGTCACCAACGTCGCTGACTGGCTCAAGCATCGACATCTGCTACTAAATGACAAGAAGAGCCAGGTCCTGTCAATTGTACCACAACGCAATGCGGGTCAGCATGTCGCTGTCCGCTGCAACCAGACAGAGCTTCCCCTGAGCCCAACAGCAAGGTACCTCGGCGTGACCCTTGACGCCGCTGTGAAGTGGGACCCGCATGTTGACGCGATGGCGAAGAAAGTTGTGCAGAAGATTGGAGCATTGTGGCGGTCCCGCAGATGTCTGAGCCTCAGTAGTCGCATCCAGTATGTGAGGTCAGTCATCATGCCTGACCTCCTATATGGGTCTAACGCCTTCTCTTCCTCCCTCAAGGTTTCGCAGCTTGATCGCCTTCAGGTCCTGCAGAACCGAGCGGCGAGAGCGGTATACGGTTTGCCGCCTCACACCTCGGCTCAGCCTCTGCTCGAACGGATGTCCCTGTACAGAGTTCGGGAGTGCTACGCCCAGAAGCGGCTCGTCCTGGTGTGGCGCTGTGTCAATGGGAAAGCCAGCAGTGTCCTCCAGGACCTATTCTCACCGTCAGCTGGCAGCACCATCCGGCACCAGGTTTCCAGGGGCCTCACTGTCCCCTCGGCACAGTCAGAAGCCGGCAGATCTCGCCTGGCCTTTCAGGCAGCCTTGGCCTGGAACGCTCTCCCAAGGAGTGTAAGGGAGATCAAGGCTGCCCAGCAATTTAAGCTTGCCTCCATCCCCTACACCTTGCAATGAACGCTCTGTCTGACTTTTCCCGTCCACACACCACGTCATTTACTCTTCTCTGCGTGCTTGTGCGCTTATGAACTCTTTGTGTTCCCTCTGTTGACGCTTCAAAACCGCTCTATTGACACTGCAAAATCGCTCTGTTGATGCTACAAAATTGCTTATCATCTCCCTCCCTCCCTCCCCCCCCCCCTCTCTCTCTCTCTCTCTCTCTCTCTGTCTCTCTCTCTCTCTCTCTCTCTCTCTCTCTCTCTCTCTCTCCCCGTAGCTCTCTCCCTTTTGAAATTCGCTTCCATAGAATTGGGCACCATTGCCCGTTTGGCCTTGCGAAGCAAAATAAAAATCAACAACAACAAGCCAACTTGAATTGTGTCGGGAACACAGCAGTGCACAAAGAGGTATTAAATATTAGGGTGAGGGAGAAGGCGATAACTGGTGCAACGGCCTTCAGGATGCTCGGGAGGAGACCATCTGGCCCAGGCGCTTTCGTACCGTCGAGTTTCTGAAGGTGCCGAAGTACCTCATCCTCAGAAATAGGGCGAAACTCGTGCAAGTCACACGGTCTTGGGGTACCTTTTGGAACAACATAAGCCGGGTTCGGATCTGACACAATACTATGGAAATACCTGTTCAAGGTATCTGCCTGGACGAGAGGCTCAGCTCTTGGGTTTGTGCGCCGGGTGACTGAGTTGATGGTGCTCCAAAGACGCCTAGGATCTCGCCGGTAATCGTCACAGATGGAGCGGAAATGGCCATTTCGGAGTTGGCGATAAAGGTTATTGCATTTGCTGCGCAAAACTTTGAACTCCTTCTGTAGAACCGTACTACTGCAGTCAGACGAGCGGTACTTTCTGTAGACGGTTTTACGTCGCCTAATGAGAGCTAGTAATTCCGGTGTCATGAATGGGCACTTCTTACTTTTTCCAGGGGATTGTCTCCGTGATATTACGTAGGGTGCAACCACATCCAAGGCGTCTTCAAATTTTCCTTGCCACTCTTCTAGCATTACATCGACCGACGGGAACGAGAAGGATCCGAGATCAGAAATTGACAATAAATGAGAGAGATCAGAGGCAGAGGCCTTACTGTAATCACGGCGGCGGGATCGATATATTTGTCCTTGTGTTGGAATTGACTTCGGAAAAATAATACTGGTGTGAACAAACTCATGATCGGTGAACTCACAGGAGTGAACGCTTCCGTGCTCAACACAATCCATGTTCGTTAGTACACAGTCGAGAAGTGTTTTAGATGTAGGTGTGATCCTTGTAGGGTGCGTAAGCATATTCTTCAGATCAAGGGGAAGTAGCAGGTATGTGTTCAAATTGTCAAAATGATGCGTTTGAGGGGACAAGAAATCAACATTTAAGTCGCCCATCAGAATGAGATCTTAGCCCTGAATGTCATACATGACTTGCTGTGGTACTTATGCTAAATCGTATTCTTATTGCACGGGACAAGCGTTTGTGTACCGGCATATGCCTTCTAGATATGTCAAAGGCATTCGACAAGGTTCGTCATGAACGGCTACTCCAGGACCTATTCGATATCGGCATAACAGGAACAGCCCTAAAGTGGTTTTCCGCCTATCTGTCGGGCCCTACTCAGCGTATCTGTATTGGACGGGATCAGAGTGCCATTTCTGCACCATCCTGTGGCGTGCCACAAGGTTCTGTTCTAGGACCGATCCTTTTCAGTATCTACACCCGCGAAGTTCCAACCATAGCTAACCAGTCTTCATCAGTTCAATTTGCCGATGACATCGCGCTGATCAGCAGCAGCACATCACTGGACACGGTATCTGCTACGCTATCGGCCTCGGTTTCTGCACTTGCTGACTGATTGCAGACCCGTGGTCTCATTTTGAATGCAGCCAAGAGCCACGTGATCCCTGTATACCCCAACAGGCAGCCTCAGCAGCCCCAGCATACGATCAATGTAAACTGTCATGAAACGCCGATTCCTGTCGTTACTGCGGCCAGGTATCTTGGAGTGCTCCTCGACTCGGATCTGTCATGGACGCCCCATGTTGATCGCTGCACCGCTCGACTGGCCCAGAGGATCGGAGCACTATGGAGGTTGCGTTGCTGCTTGACTCATCAGAGCCGAGTTCTCTACTTTAAAGCGATCATCATGTCTGACCTGATGTACGGATCCAATGCGTTTTCCCCGCTTCTTACTGCCAGCCAATTGGATCGGCTACAAGTCATGCAGAATCGGGCGTCAAGGGCGGTTTTCGGACTCTCGCATCACACCTCCGCGCGTACCCTCCTGCTGCAATTGGACACCTACAGAGTATCCGAGATATTCAGGCAGAAGTTCATCGTTCTGGTCTGGAGGTCTCGGAATGGGCACGCAAGTTCTGATCTGCAAGCCCTCCTAGTTCCTTCGTCTGCTGGCCCAACTAGGTTGCACTCCACCATGGGTCTGCGCCAACCGCCAGTTTCCACCAGGTTCGGCAAGGGTTGCCTCGCGTTCCGGGGCGCCCAGCTGTGGAACACCTTACCCAGCGACATACGTGCCATCTCCACGCTCCGCCAGTTCCGCGCCAGCATGATCCCGCACACCCTTACTACCTAGAGTACCAAACGTCCTGTTTGATGATCAGCTGGCTTAGTTTTTCTCCACCTCTATCCTAATGACATCAGTCCCCAATTTCATTTATTACTGCTTTCTATCTGCATTCGCCACCTTTTCATTGGGCAGATCTGCCCGTTTGGTTTGCGAATTAAAATAAACACAACAACAACAACAACTGTAAAGATTGCCAAAAAGCCGCCGGTGCGGACGGTGGCCTGTAGAGACAGCCAATGAGGAATGGTTCACCTGCTTCTCGTTTTTTGGAACGCAACCAAACCATTTCCAGGTCGATGTGCTGAATCAACATCCGCTTAAACCCAAGTTGCAACCTGCTGTAAATCACTACACCGCCGCGCTTTTGGCAAGGTGTTCCATTTGTACAGGAGCAGTTGTAATTGCACGTTCTGTCGAGACGGTGCATTGAGAACCCCCGGATGTCGACTTCTGAGTCCGAGATGCTGTTGTCGAGCCATGTTTCTGATACTGCTAAAATGTCTAAGTTATGGACCCGGACAAGCTTGGACAACACGAAAAGTTTATTTCGCAAACTACAAATATTAATATGACCAATAGATATAGAAGAATATGTAATGCAATGAGGGGAAGGGTGTGATGAACTTGCGTGGGGCACAAAGGGTTGGGCAAGAGGATTTAGATTTGATCTGGCCTATCATGGGAGTCTCACCAAACCAATAAAATAATGAAAATAAAATTAATGTATGGAGCGCAAAAAAAACTCAAAATCTGAGATTTTCTAAGTCAAATGAGAGGAAGAACAATAGATTGAGAACCAGGGGTGCTAATAGAACACTGGAAAGGCACTAAAACAAAATAACTGCAGTAGCGGATTTAGACTATATTGTTCAACACGTGAAACTAGTTATGCCGGCAACTGAGAAGTGGTAAACTTCATACAGCTTCCTTACCTGGCGAATAAATAGCGTGGGACTACATGTATCGAGTGAACGTATATCAGCAGGAAGTTTATTCCAAGCAACAGCGATAAGGATAAGGAAAGATTTAGCGATGTCATCATTTCATGTTTCCTACATTTTATGCGCTTCCCTAGACACATCTAGGCTTCACATTCACCGTCGTCTTATGGTGTCGTTATCCCGTTTGAAAGCGCAGAGTCAAATATAAGACAACAACAACACAATCTTTGTCAGTAATGGCGTCTCATTGATTTTCCCATATTCTCCGTAATTCTTCTTCTGTACAGGAATTCCGGATGAAGGCGACACACAGCTCTCTGGGCTCTCGATTGCATTATTTGCGATTTGTGGTGTGCTCTTGGTTGCGGCACTTGTACTGTCCGTGCTTCTGGTCAAGGCGAGGCGTTCTGTTCGCAGGTCAATCATCACGCACACCAAGGCCCGAGGTGCCAGATGCGGACACCAATCTCGGCAAACCTCTGAGAGACAGTGCCAGATGAATCCTTGCAGTGAGGAGCAATGCACTGAGACCAATCTCAGGATGATGCCGAATCCTACAACAACCGGAGCTGCAAGCAGCAACTTCGATACCACCTACGAGTCTGCCGAGGCGGTGAGACATCTTGTGGATAACGAAGCGTACGGTGTGGCTGAAAGCCTGAGCACTGTTCCTGGTGGCCAACGCAGTGCTGCACAAACAGCCGATACTCTTTACGAATGTTTGTGATTCACTCACGTGATCACGTCACTTCACCTCAGGTAATCCCAGTATCATTCGAAGCCTGACCTTTCTTTTAAAATACACCTACACCAACTATTGCCAAACGCACTGAGCAACGCAACACAGTTCTCCATCAGTACTCTTGCCCCTAAAGCAGACAATTCGCAACAGTTCCATCGTCAAAGATTTGCAATAACATGTGATGCAGCACGCAATAGAAACAGAAAACAAACCAAAAAAATCACATTTTGGCCTCATCTATACATGTACTTTGTCTTCTTCCCGCTCATATTGGTTTGACGTAGCTGTTGGCCACACTGCACGTCGCCTTTGTTTGCGAATTGTCGGCACTGTCTTACACCTGATAGTAATGTGTAAAGTGTTCCTGCAAGGCATGCATCTTTGATTTATCACATCTCGTACTCATCCTCGCTGTTTGCCTCTTACTTTTCACAGTAGTCTGCGACATTGAGGTCGGCAGGGCAGCCTGGCCCCGCCACCACTTCTCGCACATATTCGGCAATATAGTGGACTTTCGTATAAAAAAAATTAAAAAAAGATCAATTGTCATAAATGTCCCCCCGTATTCATTCTCACAACATAAACTTCGATTGTCACGCGCATTGCATCTGATGTCATCACAGGTAATTGATCAGTGACGTCAACAGTTACTGTTGTCTTTTTCTGCATCTGCTGCCCGCATTTTCTTGGTGTTACTTCAAGTAGTACTAGTAGGATTCCCTCGGAAGCTGAGACGAATACTCACATCTTTGAAACGTTTTTCAAGCTTTGCTGCTTCTCATTATCTTTGTACCTTTGCCTTTGGTTTTTCTTCGCATCCTCCGGTCTATGGATAGCCAATTTGCCACCGATCGCTTCTTTTTTCTCCCATTGGATCAACCTCTTTTGCGTTAAACAAACGAGTAAAAAAAGCACGCATATGTAGACTTCATGCCCACATCCTCATAGCTTATCATTGTGTTATTAGAATTGGATCGTTTCACTTTGCTTTTTCCCGAACACATGATTCAATCGTGCCAATTTTATTGATTATTGACTTTACGGTGTTCATTTTACTACATGCATAGTCTCGGCATTGTAATGGTGAAGGAGACCCTGGTTCTTTTCCCGCTGGAACGCCTGTTCCGTACCCATTGCTGCATTCAGCACATTTTGTTCCGATTTTAATGTGGATACTCGTCCACTTTCCACTGTTGTATTCTTCAAATTTCTTTTCAGACTTTGCCTCCTTGCTTTAATGCAGATTTCTGGCTGAACAATATTGCCGAAATGGTAGCTTCTTCGCATTCTGCATTATTACATTCGCCTGTGTTAACACCATTGGGCATCAGTTGTAAACCATAATGAAGCATTTTTCCGGTGTTCAGCACGAGCACCAATACACTGAGCCAATGCTCCAGCAGCATTAACGTTTCGTGTCTTATTTTCGCCTTGCGTACGCCCACTTTCAATGGCTCTGTGATTTTTGTCGTTTCGCTCCTTTGCATTTCTTGCCTTGGTTTTTGATAATTTTCACGCCTGTGAACGGCCACGTCTAATTATTTGCGTTAGCCTATTCAGCACATTGCAAGCTGTGAACTCAAAGAAAAACACTTTCACCGTAACATCCACCATTGTACATGTACCGTTGTGCTCGGTGAGATCCGATCGTAAGTGCACACCTTGGGCCCTGGATTAGTTCTGGTTACAATAATCATTGCATGAGTACTTGATTGTTTACGTGCAGCCGCAATCACATCCCTTCCAGGGCGTCAAGGGCTGTGCAATCCGAAGGCATCCAAAAATGTTCAAATATCGACCTAATCAAGATTTAGTACATACATGACCAATAACGTCATGTACAGTGCATGTACTTGTAGAGCTAGAGATGGACATAAGTCTCCACCAAGAAACCCGCATTACAGGTGTCTAGTCCCGACCAGTATCCATGTTCATGATCTGCTGTAGCACAGGAGCTCGGGATCTGGTTGCAATGGTATTACAAGTGGCATTAACACCTTTAGGGAAAAACGTCGGTGACGGTGACATGGCGAAGGTTTCTCCAAGGTTTCATAGTCCAAAATTAAATTGAGCTATTTGTACCACCAGCTTGCCTCGTACTACTGTGGGAAATAGGCTCCGGCGGATTATGCTCGTGAAATCATGGCATTGTGATTTCATGGATTCTCGCATTATGCTCGCAAAATCCTCATGTTATGCTTTGGCACGCGGGGATACATATTCACTACTGTAAATATACAAATTTTCGGCAGCTATTTAATTTCGGCTATATTCGGCACCGACCCAAAACGCCTAAATTAAAACGCCGATGAAATTTTTCACAGCATCTGTCGCACTATACCATGCCCTCTACCCCACGCCGAAAATAAATCGCCGCCGAAATGGCAAAAATCGTGAAGTGCCGAAATTTTGCAGCGCCGAAATTTTGTATATTTACAGTATGTTGTACTTATAATTATAGCCTCAAAGTTCGGAAAGCTGTGCGTTTTTCGTACTTGCAAGTGGCCATAAGTACAACAAAAATACATGAGTATCCCCATACCATGTACTAGGGTCCGGCGGAAAAATTGGCAGAATTCGGTCCTTTTTCTGGTAAATTTCATGCATGTTTGGTATGTGGATAAAGAAATGGAGCAGAATTCGAGGAAGTGCCCGCCATAACGCATGAGGTTTGTATGGTTCTGCCAATTTCACTGCTTTTCGAGCAGAATCTGCCACCTTTTCGAGCAGAATCCGCCGGTCCCTGGCATGTACCAACGTGTCAGTGCATGCTTTAGATCAACATGGAAAAGAGAAAACAGTCAGTACTTCTTCTATTCATTTATTAATAGTTGACATTTTTTTTAAAAGATTTTTGCATGCCAAAATTAGTTTGAGTTACCTTTGAAATTTATCATGTTCGACTGTCTTCGTAATCGTTATACTGGTCCAACCGATGTCAACCTCACCCTGCGAATAATCAGCTCATCTCTCCCGTAGCTCAACCTCTAATTCCATCATGACCGAACATCAGCTATACCTTTGTTTTTGGATTTTTTCATAATTAGAGCAATATCCATAGCCTGCACAGTCATGGCTGTTAAAATCCAGAGGTCATGATTTCGCATCATGCATAATGATTGTACATGTACACAGAGTTTTTCAGACTCAGTACCCGTTAACCCTTTCCCAAAGGTGCTCTTTTAATTCGCACTTGGTGCTTTTCGCGTCCCTCAAAATATGCTGGAAAAGTGCTCTTTTTTCAGTGAAAACACTCAAAAAGTGCTTTTTTTTAGTGAAGCATAGCCATCACACGTGTTCAGATATGAACCCAAGCTAAAAAATGTATAAGCACTCTTCCATTTATGGGTCCATGAAAAGCAAAACAGGGAGTAAAGTTCAAAAAACCACTTTTTTTACAGCATGAATGCATTTTGTACACCGGGTACAAGCTTCACCAACTTGTTGCCCCCCTAAAAAGCTGCGTGCCAAGGCCCATCGAGCACTCGTAAAGTGTGATCGCATGCATGAGCAAACAGATTTTAGCACTTTTTCAGCTAAAAAAGCTCAAAAAGGGCGATATTCAACAAAAAACGCAATAAAGGGCGAAAGAAACGGGCTTTCCCAAAAAGGGCCAAAAAGGGCGAAAAAAGGGCGAGCACCTTTGGGAAAGGGCTAGCACCCATCACTATCTCGTCCGCCTCGGGATTCCTTATAAAGGCTGATTCATTCGCAACTTCTGCTGCATGTACTGTATCAGCGCGAGAAAACCTTTGCAGAAGACGAGTTCTAGCATACAACCATGTATTAGTACATACACAGAAGCAAATGAAAAGGCGACGAGGAGACAACAACTTTATTAATGCGATTAATAGTATAAGTGAAGCGGACATTACAAAATGATGAATGAGAATACATGTATCTAAAATGGTTGTTCCTAATCGATTTTCTTGAGACTATCATCAGGGAAAATCGTCTCACAATAGAGGCTATACGGAGAACCAAACTACTTATAGGTTATCGGATAGTGGGAAGTATACAAGGTGAGGTGTGAAAAAAACTAAAGTGGGAGAGAAGACGAAAGAAATTAGAAGAAAAGATGTGAGAGTGTTCTGACGGTGTGAGCTACTACAAAAGGTGAGTGAAATGAAGGCGTGGAAGCAGGTGAATGTGATAGAGTGAGGAACTGTGAGGTGTAGGTGTATGCGAATGAATACGTGTGTGAATGCTAGGTGAAGAGTCTCAGTTTTGTGACATTTTCTTTCTGAATGCATAGATTAGGATTGTGTTTACGGATGAAAACAGCTTCTAATACCTTAAGTTCACGAAACCTACGAGCACGACACAAAACAGTGAAGCATGAATCATCATACACTGAGCGGCATTGGCTACTAGACAAGAGGTGTTTCTTAATGGCTGACCCTTTCGTTGTGGTCTCACCTTCAGTCCGGTCATCTTCATCTTGGTTGTCCAACTCACTCTCTTCATCACTGCTCTCACCTTCCTCATCCTCCTCCGCTTCCATCCCAGAACACTCAGAACACTCTCTCACATCTTTTCTTCTAATTTCTTTCGTCTTCTCTCCCACTTTAGTTTTTTTCACACCTCACCTTGTATACTTCCCACTATCCGATAACCTATAAGTAGTTTGGTTCTCCGTATAGCCTCTATTGTGAGACGATTTTCCCTGATGATAGTCTCAAGAAAATCGATTAGGAACAACCATTTTAGATACATGTATTCTCATTCATCATTTTGTAATGTCCGCTTCACTTATACTATTAATCGCATTAATACACAGAAGCCTTGCTTGTTAGTTTAACATGTTTTTCGATTTTACAACCCCTAGATTAACAAGGGTCCGAACCTGGGTTTTCCCAATACGGTTCAAATGGTCGCAAGACCGGGACTCTGCCAACCGGGTTATGGTTGTAGTCAGGAGCACTACGCGTCCTCGCCTTGTAACATGCTGTCGAAATCGAAAAACAATGTACTAGTATTGCCATGATTTGTACCCTGAGTTTCACTGAAAACGTTGTCTATAATGACCTCTGAACCCTTTACCATACAGACCACCAGCACTGATCAGGTTCATTGTACACAATTGTGTAGCCTACATACATGTACTAGAACTGTAGTACATGTACATGATTGTAGTTATGCTCCTACCTTCGAAACGATGCCAAATTATGCTCCAAATTTTCAAACCAAATTATGCCAATAATTATGACGGCATAATCCGCCGGTGCCTAGTTAGGCATCGGCGGATTATGCCGGCATAAGTATTAGCATAATTTGGTGGTTGAAATTTTGGAGCATAATTTGGCATCCTTTCGGAGGTAGGAGCATAGCTACATGATTGTACCACAGTTCTAGTATGTAGGCTATACAATGGTGTACAATACACCTTATCAGTGCTGGTGGTCTGCATGGCTAGGAATGGGTGGGTAATGCTAGCATTATGGCTGGCATTATAGTCCCTTTTTTCCAGGTGGCATAATGCTGGCATTATAACACCATTTCGCATGCAAAATTGATTACAAGCATAATTGCCGGTCGACAACGGTGTCATGCATGAAGCTGGCTAGGTCCAGTTCCGAAAATCGTGAATCTGAACCCGTCCGGCTTCTTCAGGAGACTTGACGTTGCAAATCAACCTTCTCAGTGGATTGTTTCAGACAACATGCTCACTGATGTTTTTAAAGTTTTTCTTCTATGCTTTGGCCTTGATCCAAGACGGCCTTCTTAAATCGACTGTTCCAACTGTCAAACTGGCATTATGGAGAAGTGTAAGCATTATAAGTGGCATTATATCCTCATAATATGAGCATTGCCTTTAGCACTATCGCAGCAAATAACTAGCATTACCCGCCCATGCCTATGCATGGCAAAGGGTTCGGAGGTCATGCAGATAGTGTTTTCAATGAAAAGCAGGGCAGAAATCACGGCAGAAATCACGGCAGAAATCACGGCAGAAATCACGGCAATACCGAAAAGTCTAACGACCAAAATGTTTTTAAAGCGTTTTTGTAATTTTGGCATGATAACGTGGCTCCCTGGCCACCGATGGCTACCAGGCCACCAAGGATATTCATCGATGTATGCGCATTTTCACACTGGGTTCGGGATAAAAAATATATAAAAAAATTCGATGGGTTCGCGTACCGGGCAGGTTCGGGATAACGTTTCTTCAAATAGCGAATAGGAATTGGTCGCTGAAACGCTAGACTTTCCGGTTTTACTGTACATAAGTGCATGCTCGAACTGGTCCTCTTCAAACTGTTCTTTCTCACACTGACACAGTACATAATTACAGGGTGCAACAGAGCTCTCGGCCATTGAAGAAAATGTTGGGTCACCTCCACCATTACGCTGCGCTCTTTAGCCGACTAGACCCTCCTGCACACAACCATCACCATTGCGAGGACACTTCCCTATATATTGATAAACTCCTTCAGACCGCTGTTTCGGTAATACATAGCTCATCAGTGAAGGTAGATGTTGAATGATAAAAATATAGACCAAACTGCTATTATATTAGGTTTCCACATACAAAACTGGCATAGCTGAGGTGATAACGCGGGAAAGGGAAAGTGTGAAGTACTGTTGACGCGCATGGGACATGCATGCAGCGTCAGAAATTCGGCGCGGAAAATCAATCACTATGACTATCAATGAAGAAATAACGTGCTAGAATCGGTGTACTGCGTAGCTTGTGAGTACATGTAGCAGAATATGCGAGTGAATCAGCCTTCATCAGGTATCCTCGGCCTATGGCGGACGAGATAGTGACGGGTAGTCCGCACAACTCCGCGAACATGTTCATTATGCTGCCATTTATGCATGCGACGAAGTCATGACCTCTGGATTTTAGTAGCCATGGCTGCGCAGGCTATGTATATTGCTCTGATAATTAAAAAAATTGAGGTATAGTTGATGTTCGGGCATGATGGGAAGGAGAGGTGAAGCTACGGGAGAGATGAGCTGATTTAGGAATACTGTATAAGTTTCTTTTGGAATCAACTTTCGCTATGTTCGTTAGGCGGCACGAAATAACTAAAGTTCTTTTTCAGAACGTTCGCGGTGACAGACCTCGACCAAAACGAAATTTAGTACGCAACGAACCTGTTGGTGGAGTGATCTAACAGTAAAGCTGTTGGCTACCTCGTGTCTCACTGCTCCCACCTACCGCTTGAATGCATTCGCCTTTTTTACCATTGCTATATTTTCCCCATTTTTCTCTATTGCTCAACCGCCTGGTCATCCCTACTAAGTAAATCGTTACTGAGTACCCTGGAAGTCCACAATAAGAGTATACTCAAAGTCCTTCAAGTTCCGAAAACCATCATACTGTCCTTCTGCCGAGCTGTACGATATGTTTAACACCTTCCCTATCTCTAGTCAAGCGGATCGAAAACTGTGTATCGTTGTTCATTCTATTCGTCTTGACAAAGCCCCGCCACACTTGCGTAAATATAACTGGTTTCTTCCCACTCGTCCTACGCGCAATCCCTGCACTTTACCTAAAGCCCGAACCTCAGCTTATACCAGATCTCCGTTTTTCGCTGCCTATTCTCTCTGGCTGGCCCTGCCTCTATCAGTAAAATCGTCTTGTACGCTAAAGGATTTCAAGGCCAACATGAAGCTCGTGTTCTAATAACTGCTAATTCTTCATCCAGATTTGTTTCTCTTTGCCTCCAGTAATGTGTAAGATTTATTTATTTTTGCTTTGTTTTTGTTTACAGCCATGGCTGGCTACCGCCCCCCTCCCTCCATATTGGCCTATATTCTCTGGCCACGGGAAGGTGAAATAAATAAATAACGAAAGATTTCGTGGACGAAAATTTGTACTCATACAGTATTCGCAGGGTGAGGGTGACATTGGTTGGACGAGCATGACGATGACGAAGACAGTTGAACAAGATAATTTTCAATGGCAACTCAAACTACTTTGGTCCTCTCTTTGGAATCAGCACTAATATCCATGAACCTTTCAAGTTGGAAGGCCGTTGGTTAGCGCTGTCGAGCAGTGCCCAAGCTGACTTTCATGCCGTGAAATGTTTCAGTATACTTTGTCAGTTTTGTGCTAGAGTGTGCACGTCTGACTGTTCAAAATCTGGTTTAGTTAGTGGTCTCTATCGCAAACCCTGTGCCCACAATTTCCATGTTAGGTAATGAGCTTTTTTGCAAGTACGAAAAACGCACAATTTCCCGAACATTGAGGCTCCATCAGTACAACAAAGTGAATATGTATCTCCGCGTGCCAAAGCATGATATGAGGATTTTGCGAGCATAATGCGAGAATCCATGAAAGCATAATTCCATGATTTTGCGAGCACAATCCGGCGGCGCCTACCAGCCATGCACCAGCTGCGCATGTCAACCTCAACTCAGTCAGTCTCTATGCCGCGTATGCGTCACAAGACAGGCAGATGCTAGATGCACATGCCTGTCTTGTGACGCATGGAGTGTCCCTGACTGAGATGACGTCTCGAGATGAGTGTTGCGAATATTATGCATGAGCAGGCTCTGGCCTGATTGAAGGCAAAGCATGGTATTGGTAGTGAAGGCTGAGTGACGTCGGGGAAGAGGCTGGACGCATCCATTCAACAACATTTTCGCTCCCGCAAAGTTTTCTCCTAATCAAAGTGTAGATTTTCGGACAGGAGCCCCTGCAGAGAATGGCGAACATGCTCGCCACTAGCGTTCTTCTTCTCGCATTGGCCACCGTCCACCTCAAGGCGGACAGTCCATGTCTGGGCGAGTTCCAGTATTGCGATTCCAGTGGCGAATGCGTGCTGGACCCGAGTTTGTGTGGAAAGTGCAAACATGGTGAATACTTGTGTCTCGACCAGACAACATGCGTGCATGATGTGGAGGGCTACATGGAATGCCCGCACCTGAAGGGTGGCTTCTTCGACTGGACCATGCCGATGGAGGAGCGTGTGGAGGCGCTGGCAAAGCAGGCGACCGTTGCGGAGCAAATCGGACAGTTGACGAACGCCGCTCCCGCCATCGTACGACTCGGTAAGTGCAGCGCCTCATTGTCGGTCGTGGTACAGTCAGGCAGGGTCAAACTGGTCCCAGCCTACTATGCAGCCTACGATACTGGCCTAGGAAATCCAACCTCATGAATAAAACGGTGCAGTGCCCTGCATGCGCGGCCCTAGCACTACTTTTTTTCTTTTTTATAATAGCTATAATTTTTTCTTTTTCTTTTTTTTTACTAGCTAACACAGCCCTACTAATAATAATCAGGGAAAGAGGACAACTGAAGTCACACTGGACAACAAGACAAAGGAGAGTAGGGGCGATGTGCCGATGTGGTTGGCGAGGCTCATCCGACCGGAGGTCTCGGAATCACAGCCTACGACCAGGAATCGATAGGAATGCAGCTAGGGAGGGAGGGAGATCAAGTGAGAAAAGAGAAAGAGACAGAGAGAGACAGAAAGAGCTACGAGAAGGAGAAATAGAATAAAATAAAACAAGAAGGAGATGATGGCCGAGGGTACTTGCTCATTGACGGGTGACATAGCCTCACAGGGAGTCCGTAGCCCAGAGCCAATTATTTTGACGCAAGTGGCGATGGACTTTCGTCTTGAAGGATTGGAGAGACTTCAACTGGGGCATCGGTTCCGGAAACAGGTCTTGCGGCAGCCTATTCCATTCATGCACAACACCATAATTATGGGAACGAACGCTGGAGAAAGTTAGGGGCGTAGGGAGGAGCACTGTTTGTAGCTGATGCTGATGGCGGACACGGAGCTGCGACCTTGTCCACGGGACGAGGCTAGCTTCATGGCGAGGCGGCACGAGCGCGGAGAGGTCTGTCTGGTCTTGCAGGCACATTAGCTTTTACATGTACGTTAGTGCGTACACTTGGCGGCGACACACAATTCTGTGCGCTCGAACGCGCCACTATTACTCATGAGGTTGGATTTCTCTGGCAGAACTTTAGCTGTCGCAATCTTGATGTTAACGGGTGCTCCTTGTGGATAAATGTACAATGTAACATCCTGCATCCTTGCACAGCTTGACGTAAGTTGACTCACAGCACTGTATTTCACTGAGATACACTGAAAATCTATGTGCTTGCCTCTTGGTCAAAGAGCTACAGTCAACTTGGCGTATAACGACATTTGGCGGGGCATCCGAAAAAGTGTTGTTATTCGCGAAGTGTCCTTATACCCGATATCTCATTTTACGTATTTCAGTTAAATGGGACTTTGCTATGGGCATGGAAATTCTGACCTTATTCGCCAATTGTTATATACGCAGTCGTTATTAGCAAAGTTGACTGTAACTGGGAGTTCAAATTTGCAAAATATCAACATCTCACACCTGTTCATCTACCTACTCCACCTACGGCGAAGAAGAAAAAAATAGTTGCAATTACCGACCTACTGCCCTGTCCAATGGCGCACAGCTCAGGGCCACGGGTGGGTATTCCTCATTGATGCGGGAATTGAAGAGGCCCTGCTAGCGGAAGGTTTAGAAATTGTGCGCCAATAGCCCATATCCTATTGCCTCAAAGGTCTCAAAAGTAAAGTATTTTTGCGATGTTGCCACACTAGTTTCGACGCTGTTCACACTCAAACGGACCACTGCGCTCCGACCAGGCGGCAATTGCAAAGTATGCACACATGCGGACATTGTTCATTAGAATAGCTATGGCCCACCAAACAGTTTTGGATGTAAGTGCCTGCTCACGTAATCTTGCAGTGATAGCCAAAATAATGTTCGAAGATTTGTCGATGACTCTTGCCTCAAATTGCTTCATTTTAATAGGGATGAACGAGTGCCAGAATCAAGGACTTGGGTTGCACATTACCTGTCATAGTAATGGAAGTGCTAGAACTTGATGTACTTGCATGCAGTAGTGCATAGTATGCGTCGAGTATTTTAACGAAACGAGTCCTCACTCATTTAAAATCTTCGATTGAACGCTCGAGTATTCGATGTACTCATCTCACCCCTCAAAGAAAAGGAGAGTTGTCAACTAAGAACCGCTCTATTCAGTTGCTATTCACCATCTGCACATGTGCTGCATTAAAAATTCTTTTATTGTGATGTTGAACAATTCTTGACGTTTCGGACCTGTCACCCATGGTTACCATGGTTATTTCAAACCTAGATCTTACTGTTAGTCTACATATTTTCGGCCCATTCAAATGTCGGCCTTCCGAGGCTAGAACACATTTCGGCAGCATCAAATATTTGGCCTGTACTGCTGCAGCCTGTGTACGCTGTCACACTGAACCTTGCAAAACAAAATTTCGGCCGCAAAATGTTTTCGACCAAACATGACCAGGTCGAAAATAGCCGAAAATAAATGTGCGCCGAATATTTGTTGGCTTACAGTAATTCATTGTTGTCTGTTCTGTTCAAGGCATACCCGCCTACAACTGGCTGAACGATGACGAGCACGGAGTGAAGCAGAAGCACGCCACGTCGTTCCCAAACGGCTGTGCCCTGGGTGCCATGTGGGACAAGCAGACAATGTACAGGGTGGGAGAGGCGGTCGGCCAGGAGGCACGCGCCCTGCACAATGGCTTCGTGCATGAAGGTACGTACCGTGTTTCCCTGATTATAAGTCTTACATCTTTTTACACTAAACTTCATTCTCAACAAGGGGTGGGGGGGGTGCAACTTACAATCGAGCATGACTTGCTACTGAAGTGAATATATTGAAACGATGTGACAAGGACCTGAAAATGGGGATGCGACTTACAATCGGGGAATACCGTAACTGTGTGCTTGTACTACAGCCAAGTTGTTACAAGTCGGTCGCATCTAACTCACACACTCTCAATAAGCGGCACACCTCTGCCATAAGGACAGAATGTAAATATGTACACATACACGTGGACAGTGTCCGCTTCATCAACCGCCAATATTGTACTCGCGACCAGGTATCGAATGCTACATGTAGGTTACCATGTGCTTGTACCGTAATGTACCGCGAGAACGCCCCGCCAACCCATCCCTTCCGTGGTCGTGCTGTTGAAGTGGCGCCCTGTCTGTATGTTATACGTACCTTGCACGTACACACACTGCCAGTTTGAAGTCAATTCCTACGCAGTTTTCCATGAAACGCCACACAAGAAAATGCCAAGTGTGACCTTACTACACTGAGATTCTCACACCGTATGAACTGAGTTGCACTAGCGATACTTTCCTGTACTGCAGCCCACTTCTGACAAGTTGGACAAATCTACACATCTTGGGCACCCTATAAGAAGACCTTAGGGTCTGTAGGTAATGCCCAAGTAAAATAAAAATAAAAATACACTCGCCGTAATTACGCACTTTTGCTATACGGGCAGAAGGTAAATCAGTATACGAACGCAATGTCCGCGAGTAGTGCACTCGCGATACAGTACAGAATGCTGTTCTTTGGACGGAGCATGGGAATTATGAACAATGCACTGTACTACAGTGCATACTCCAGTGCCATTTAGGAGTAATGTAAATTTAGGTTCCTGATTTCTCTACCGAAACTACCGAAATTTAAGTTACACCGAAAATTACGTGTTGTTTAGGAACATCATTGCATGTGCTTTGTGTGCAACATGGAGTGGAAGACCGGTGCGTTCGGTGCCACAGTTTCCTCGCTGCATGCAAGCCATCTGAAGCGGTGCAATGGTCATGCAATCAAATAACCATTCTGCAGGTGTACTGCTCTACACACTCATACCGATGAGTAGGTTGTGTACTTAGTGAAAAAATATAATATTAATAAAATGTCTTATCCGGACCTGCAAGTTAGAGGCACCTAGGTCCACCGGGCACCCTGGGGGGAGATTTAGTGGAGATAGCAGCAGTCTTTGCCCAGTTTTGTTGAAATAGCGACGTCGTACCCCAGATCTCCGGCCATTCCCCCCCCCCCCCCCCCCCCCATCAAAATGTACTTGATTCTGAGTTACAGGTATTGCCAAGTTCTGGACGGTGCCTGGTCCCCGACTACCCGGAAAAGAGAGATATGAGAGTATGTTACTACCACTATGCAGAGAACAACAGCGCCACATTATCACTGTAAAGCCACTTCCAAAGCAGATATTTTTTGGAAGTATCTGAACCTGGTACAAACAAGGCCGGGCTAGGCAGATCGAGGTAGAGTGTTCAATGCTCGAATAACAGAGCAGCATACACACACACAACAGAGGTCTACACAGCCTTTCGCCTCTGTTGTGTGTGAACATGGTAGATTCATATGCCACCCAGCTCAATCATTTGAACATGGTTCCAGCACCTTGTCATTGAAATCTTTTTGGTTATCATTTTTCCCCTTGTCGTGCCCTTCAGGTAACCGTGGTGAGCCCCATGACAACGGAGTCGGTATCACAATGTACGCACCAAACATGAACCTTGTCCGTGACCCACGCTGGGGTAGAGCGCAAGAGGTGAGACATTACTGTTGAAACTTGAAACGACTAGGGCGATGAACAAGTATCAATCAAACTGTGAACGGCGCCATTCGGCTGTTGAAGAGTGCAACCGATTACAGACATACTGTACTTCAAAGTAACCCTCCACCTCCGTGCGCTCTAAAGCCGACCATTGCTACCCTCGGTAGCCATTACGTGAAACAATAATTTCAAACACGGAAGGGGTCACAGGTAAAATGTTTTTTCCTTCTGACAGCTGTTTGGCCTATCAAAGGCTCGTCAAAGAAGGTGATACTAACTATCGGCCTTAGACCACATGGAGGTGGAGAGTTACTTTGAAGTAGTCTGCTGTAGAAAGAACAAGCAAAAAGGAAATGCCATCCAGATTAAAACTTGAAATGAAACATGAGTCTAGCAGGGTTCTAAGCAAAACAGGGTAGGGGAGGCAGCCCAATCCCCACACACACACTCTGATAGCGCACTACTCTACTTTTCTTTTTTCGATTATATTGTTTTTCACGTCACACAACTAATATGCGGCCACATATTGATCGTTCTGGGCACTCTATGGACCAGTAAGATGCTTTTTTTGTGACAAGGCAATAGTAAAACATGGACACCTGGGTGAACTGCTTGTTTCCCCAAATATCCCCACCTCCTACAAATATTGTTTCTTGCTAGAACCCTGTGTTAGACCTTGAAACAGAATCATCCATGTACACATTCCTCGTTGCGTGTGTGGTTGCGAGCTCATATGCATACACATGTGTATGCATCTTGCCCAAAATGGATGAGGAGATTGCCTCTTAAAATTAATCTGACAATGCCATTAGACCGCTGTATAATTCGAATCCTCAGCATACATCTCTGCTACCAGTGTATGCACTGTGCAGTTTCATACTTTGTCCAACATATTTCCCCCTCCTCCTCCTCCCCCCGGGTTTACTCATCATATTCTGTATTCTGGTGTTGTATTCTCCATGCAGGTCTATTCCGAGGATCCAGTGCTCAGTAGCTACCTGACGTACGCGTTTGTCCACGCGGCACAGGTCGGCAATGGTTCATCGCCCCGGTACATGCAGGCGGCTGCCTGCTGCAAGCACTACGCTGCATACGATCTGGAAACCGTTCCCGTCGACCGCTACCATTTCTCGGCTACGGTATGTGGTCCATAAACACTGTAATGTTCGCACAATCATTATATTCGGAGTGCAATACGATCGCATAGCCTTAGGACCGATCTGTTTCGTGTATGTGTTTGTGTGCCAGAAACAGAGAGAGAGAGAGGGGTGCTTATATGTGTGTGTGTGTGCGCGTACGAGTATGTGTATACATGCGTATGTGTATGTGTGTGGAACTATTATGTGTGTGTATGTGCAGGATCATGCAGGAACGCGTGTGCACCTGTATGTGTGTGCGGGAACAGTTTCCGCCTATTCTGTGTCCTCGAACACCCAATTTGTCAACTGCATTGACGCAATAATTTGTTGATGTGCATGCGTAGCCGAAAACAGACATGAATGGAACCTTTTTCACCCACAGGTGCGTAAAGTTCACTTCTCCGTAGTATACTTTTATGCGTGCGGACATCCGTGGGTGCATGCGCGGCTGTATACGTTTGTGTGCTTGGAAACTCCCCGTGTGTTTCGTTTTCAGGTGGATGCACGCAACATGTGGGAGACGTACATGCCGGTGTTCCGAGCGTGCGTGCACTTTGCGCAGGGTGCGCACGTCATGTGCAGCTACAACGCCATCAATGGTGTGCCGACCTGCGCCGACAAGGGCCTGCTGTCCGGCATCCTGCGTGACCAGTGGCACTGGCCAGGGTTCGTCGTCAGCGACTATGACGCCTGGGCGCAGATCTACGAGACGCACGCCTACTGCCCCAACATGACCTGCGCCGCGGCGGCCGGCCTCAACGCCGGCATGGACCAGGAGGGCGGCGGGAACCGCGCCATCGCTCAAATCCAGCCCGCCATCGACGCCGGCATGACGACCAAGGACGCCGTGGAGGCGGCGTTCAAGCGACTGTTCCTCGTGCGCCTCAAGCTCGGCATGCACGACCCTCCGCACATGGTCGAGTGGAACTACCTGCGTAATTCGAGCATCGTCGAGAACGACTCTCACCTGGCCCTGGCACGGTACTCTGCGCAGCAGGCTATGACGCTCTATCACAACGTCAACGGTGCACTACCGCTGTCTAAATCACTAAAGAAAGTTGCCGTCATCGGCCCGAGCGCCGTCAATGGACCCCTGCTGCTCGGCAACTACGCCATCGTGCCCGACCGCGGAGTCCCGTCCATTGTGGACGCAATGCAGGACGCTCTCGGCGTCAATCCCGGCAAGTTTGTCGCGAAATGCGGCGAGATCGAGGAGGATGTCAGCTACTGCTCCGGTCCAGCGTGTCCTGCCACGCCATCGGCGAGCCTGGAAAACTGCTGCTGGCAGTGCGGCATGAACGAGGGCTGCACGCATTACACGTTTCTGAACTACACCTGCGCTCAACTGTCGTCCACGGCCGGAAAGCACTCCGTTCCCGGCGGCAAATCGGCACCGTGCATGTCACACTACGAGCACAAGGTGGCCTGGGCTGGAGGGTGCGACGACGTGGCATGCGAGAGCACGCGCGGCTTTGGTGAGGCCGTAACCGTGGCGAATGGTTCCGACGCTATTGTTCTGGTGCTGGGCCTGGATCTGGTGCAGGAGCGTGAGGGACACGATCGAGCCACCATTGAGCTTCCCGGTCATCAGAATGATCTGTTCACTACGCTGCGCCATGCGTACCCGCACACTCCCCTCGTTGTCGTGCTCGTGCACGGGGGAACTATGGCGCTGGGGAACATCACGACTCAGGCCGATGCCATCCTTGATGCTTGGTATCCCGGTATGGAGGTGAGTCGGGTAGCGTGATGTGTGTGTGTGGGGGGGGGGGGTGTTTGTGTGGGGGTTTGTGTGTGGGTGTGGGTGTCTGTCTGTCTGTCTGTCTGTCTGTCTGTGTGTGTGTGTGTGTGTGTATGCATGTATATGAGAAATGCGTAAGTGTGTTTAGAGACATTTTGTGTATCCAAGAGTCCATAGCCCCAACATTAGGCCTCCTCTCCGAACTATGGGTGTCCTATGGGTGCTCAACATTTTTCAATAATTGCAACACGATGTCGGCCAGGAAAAGTTCACAGAATTTCACATCATTATCACATGGTAGATTCAAAGATGCCAAGACATTGGCCGTGCACAGACCAACACACGTCCTCCCAACAGTCCAATGTATGAAAGAAAATCGTACCTGGAAGCTAAAACCTGTAGCACTCGTGTTTTTGTCGGACCCTGTACCAAGCGAAATCCTGTTTTGATCGGAGAAAATTGCTTCCAACAAACTGCTGTGGATCGAACGTGTGTCCCTTGATCAAGCGGAGTCCTGTCATGTCAGGAAAGTTTCTGCTGCACCAAGGGCGTCCGGTTAGGGTATGTTTTACTGTAGATGAATAGTGATGAAACCGCCCAGCTGATGCGCTTGTTCGTATCCCAATACAGTAAGACCTGGTGTAAGCGACCTCTGGGTTTAGCGACCACCTGCTCTTAACCACCGTTTTTCCACGCACCGACAGTTCTCAACAGACACTGTGGGACCTGGTTCTAAAGACCACCTGGCTTTAGTGACCGCTTTCGCTCACGCCGTGGGATGGTTGCTCAAACCAGGTTTTACTCTACATATAATGGTCCGTTTTGCTCGGAAAATCCTTTTCATTGTTGACTTCATACTCGTGTGGCTAACCACTCTTGGTAGCACCCTCTTGGTAGCACCTTCTTGGTAGCACCCTCTTGGTAGCGCCTTCTTGGTAGCACGTGTTGTTTTGGCACTTCTAATCAGTTCAGTAGATGGAATCTGATTATGTCATTGCCCTCGGACTGGATATCAAATACCATAAGCAGGAAACGATTCATATCGAACTCCCAGCGGCATGAAAAATTCGTGTTTAATTCTATGGTAAAATTGTGCTCATTCTCATCGAAATCCATCAATTCCACTCAGAGAACTGGGTGAGTGTGTGTGACTTAGCTATTCTTTTGCTCCTAGTCGGTATGCGCAATTCAAAATTGCAATGTACAGGAAAACCTGGTTTAAGCGACCAACCCACGGTGCAAGCGAAAGCGGTCGTTAAAGTCAGGTGGTCTTAAGAACCAGGTCCCACAGTGTCTGTGTAGAATTGTCGGTGCATGGAGAAACAGTCGTTAAGAGCAGGTGGTCACTAAATCCAGAGGTCGCTTACACCAGGTCTTACTGTACTGCATGTGATCTATTTCTGTCTGTTACAGGGTGCCGGTGCTATTGCTGACGTTCTGTTTGGCAAAGCGAACCCTGGCGGACGTGCGTCAGTCACGTCGTATCTGAAGACGTAGGACTTGCCGGCAATGGGTAACACCAATCTCTACCCGAACAATGGATCCAAAGGTGAGCCAGTCGTATTGCCCCTTTTCCACTGTCACATCCTTGCACTTGTAATGCTGGCGCCATAAAACTCATGCTCCTCTCCCCCCCCCCCCCCCCCCCACACACACACACACAGACAGGAAGGTTCTGGAGTGCCCCTAGTTTACCACCACTCTCTATCTCGCTATACTCTTGAGTCTTCTTCACACTCTATGAATTCGTGTCTTCTTTTTTACATATCTTTCTATTGCCACCAATTGAAGAGTCTAGATGTGAAGCGGGGTAAGTGAGGAGAAATTGAGATTTTCAGCTCAGTGTAGTTCAAAAGCCTAGAGACACTTTCAGGAAAATGTCGCATTTAAATTCTGACCGGAATCACATAGATTTAGATGTGAGTCACACTCAAGATGAGCCATGATCATAATCTGAAAAGTGATCAATGGATGTGTCGCATTTTTCATCACAGGTATAACATACCGATACTTTACTGGAGAAGTGCAATACCCGTTCGGTTATGGACTGTCCTACACCACGTTCAAGTATTCTGAACTGAGCCTGTCCAAAACAACAGTCAAGGTTAGTTCTTACAGTGTCTTGTGCACGTGTGTGCGTGTGTGTGTGTGTGTGTGTGTGTGTGTGTGTGTGTGTGTGTGTGTGTGTGTATGTGTGTATGTGTGTGTGTGTGTATATGTGTGTATGTGTGTGTGTGTGTGTGTGTGTGTGTGTGTGTGTGTGTGTGTGTGTGTGTGTCCTCACACCTTTACTCAGGTGTGGTGAGACTATAAGTAGGATTATTTCGAAGTCCACCCAGAGTTCTGAGATTAACCCTTTACCGGCAGCCCCATACTTGAATGCGTCAACGTTCACGCATTCGACATGCATACCAAACCATGCCTGGCATGACAGGAAGCATCAGCCCACGGGGATTTCCCGTGGCCATCATGCAGCCTAGGTATGATCCACGCGTGTCTCATTTGATTTCATTGAGAACTGCGCGATCGAAAACATACGGAAATACACGCGCGCCGACAATGCCGCCTACCTCTGTCAAAACATCGTCAGGTGCATTTTCTCTTGCGCATTGAGTTCCTTTCGTCCTCGGGTGACTTCTCCGACGAGGAACTAGCAGTCATTCGCTCTGGGACCGACGACAGATAGATACATACTTCGTTCCAGCCGCCGATGCAAGCGAATCTCAAATTACGGAGCGGGGCGCACGCCAAGTAAATTCTCGCACAAATATGGGGAGCGCCAGCCGCTGAAGACGATGTCGTCGTGATGTACCAGGGATAATCTGATGGTGCTTATGGTGGTGAAGCCATGGAGAGTGATCCTCGTGTCGATAGTCTTCCAGAGACGGAAATTTAGGCCATCGACGTTCTACGTACCTGAGTGACGGCAGCGCAGCGCGGCGTGCATGCGGCCTTACGGAGCTATCCGACAGCGATTCTGGGGCTCATTTGTGAGTGAGGCACGACCACTGAAGTCTGTGATAGCTATAGCGTTTGTTTCCGCTCCGAAGTCGACTTGTTTTGCAGTATCATGTGAATGTCGGAACTCTGACGATTTGCATGTGTACAATTTCCGTGTTTAGACGTAGAGGTGTCAATGAATTATTGTAATTTAGCAGCGTACGTTTGTGGTAGGTGAAAGTAATTTTTTCCATGGTCAGGAAGTAGTACCAGACTTCCAAGAAAACATAACTTGCACATACAAAATGTGGCCTCGTTGTGAGTTATTGGCATCCTTCTAAATGTTATGGATTTCACATACAAAAGTAACTTGCCGGTAAAGGGTTTAAACATTTCTCAGAGGTTGTCGGCCAAATTCGTCATATTTCCTATCAGTCCTTTTAAGTCCCTCTCCCCAGTGCCGGGGAGACCCAAGTAACCAATTTGGCTGTAGGGAGGGTATGAGTGTGATTTAAAATCAATGTTATTTTCATCACTGATCTTCCTATTCATGCTTTACTTGTTTAGGCATGTGACTTTGTGAGCGTGACAGTTCGTGTCACCAATACGGGTGAAATGGATGGTGATGAAGTTGTCCAGGTGTACGTGGAACAGCCGCATGCCTCAGTCCCAGTGCCACGTGTGAGTACCGGTACATGTACACTTACCAGGGGAGCATCCGGTCCCCCTTTTAGTGCACGGCCGCATACGTGTATGATGGCTGGTGCATGTCATTCAGGGTCATTATGTGCATGCTGAATCTAGGTCGAAATTTTTAGGGGGTGCACCTGCCGCATGCGGTTATGTATCCGCATTTGGCCCGACCAGGTGGACCGGTCTCACCGTCCCTGGGGGATGCCACCCACTTGATCTGGCCGTCTTGTTCCAGGTGTGGGCAGGAGAAGTCCTTGGTCTGGTCAAGGTACACCGGCCCTTGTCTTGTTTGCAACTCGTGTCATGTGTTATGTGTTCTGCACAATGAATGTCCCTGACTGTTGAGCCGATCGCATGCATGCGCATGTATCTCAATGATTTGCTCTTGCTCAGATTCGCCTGGCCAACTTTGAGCGCGTCGGCATTCCCAAGGGCCAAAGTGCGCAGGTCGAGCTGCAGATCAGTCCGCATTTCCACGCCATTGTGCCCGACTCAGCCAAGGACATCTACGAGGACAGCCCAATGGTTGAAGCCGGTGTTGTCACCGTTCATGTCGGCGGAGGACAGCCTGCCTACTATCCGGGTCACTTGACCACCACGTTCACAGTCTCCGACACGCAGAAACTATCCACATGCTGAAAAAACCAATATTAATTGTTATGATATTTCCTGCTTTGCCTTGCTGGCCAAGTGGTATTTCTATTTTTTTTACTAGCACAATAGATCCCTAGTGAAGTAGTTGCAGCAGTGTGCTTAAAAACCCACATGGTAGAATAGCCTTGGTATATTTGGACATATATAAATAAATTTCCTTTAACCCGTCCAAATAACATGTTTAGTACTGCAGGGAAGGTGCTTGCGAGAGCAATCATGTCCACCCTCTGCCCATAGAGCCGCAAAATGCAGAGAGGGAAGAAGGGTAAGCAGGGCCATATGTAGAGACTGAAAGAAAGAAAAAAAACACGGTTCTTGTGAGACTCGGCTGGAAGCCGAATTTTCGCATCCGTAGGAACGCCACCACCCTCTAGGATCAAGGCGCAGATGTAGAGCGTAAACGGGGGGAGGTGAGTAGATCAGACCCACCACAAAGTGGCAAAGACCGAAATCCCATTAACTGCATCCATGTTTCCCTCGTGCCAGGTCACGAGTTCCCAATTAACCGTGAGTCGCAGCACGGCTTGAAAATTCCTTCCGCTTCCAACAAGGACTTGAACCTGGTACCCTCTGTTTCTCAATCTTAGTCTTAGACCATCCCACTATGCCTGCCTGCTAGAGACTGAAAGAAACACTAAAATGCGTTATAGTCAGTTTCACTGCGCTTTCCGTATCCGTAGGAACGCCATCACCCGCTTTTTATAGGATCCAGCTGAAAGGAAAGGCTCTCATAATTCCTCGCAGCAGCCGCACAGCTGGGTTACAGGGAGCAGACGTTGTGCAGCCAGTATACATCTATTACACTGCTACCTCTCTTTCTCCTCCGCCCTTTCCCTCTCTCTCTCTCTCTCTCTCTCTCTCTCTCTCTCTCTCTCTCTCTCTCTCTCTCTCTCTCTCTCTCTCTCTATCTATCTATCTATCTATCTCTCTTTCTCTCTCTCTCTCTCTCTCCCACCCCAGGCATCATCTCTCTCCATTGCATCAAGCAACACAGGCGGCAGTAACGTTTAGTGAAGTCCGTAAAATATTTCCCCAAAACCCAGGTATTGAATTAGAGGTGATAACCTGGGTGGCTGGAACTTCATTAGGACTTCACTTCACTGCATTGCAGAAAGAGGGAGCTCGTCGACTGACAGCCGCTTAATAGGCTGTTACTGCGCATTCAGTGCGCTGAGATAGAACAATATTTTCAGTTACTGATATTCAACACAAGCATTGTCACTGAAGCATGGTGAGAAGACATTACAGAGCAAATGCTCCTTAGCAAGAGTTGCGTGTTGCACAGCGAAACACATGAAACCAGCCAAGGTGGATGGTGCGTCAACTTAGACTACTTGCAGCACTGCTGTTTGCATTAAAATTCAGTTCAATCGTTGAAAGTATAATTATAGAGTTCTCATTTCCATCAGGCGAAGGAGGAGGGGGGGGGGGAATTAGAACAAGAGACTTAGAGTAACAAATTATGAGTTCGATGACGAGGGGTTATGCCACTCCTACGTGAAAGGAGCAATGTCGGCTATCCGATTATGTGATCCACGGCCTGGCAGGTGTTGTTCTGCAAGCTTGTTCAGGGCATGGTCGATCCACATTTTACTTGCTTGCGTGAACATGCGTGAACACACACTCATGTCCTTCCGAAGTCGAATGCATTGGTTTACTTTCTCAGGCCACCTTCGGAGGACAGATGAAAAGTGACGGCTTCTTCGCTACACTTGACAATACGGAGGGAGCATTGTTATTCCCTTAGAGGAGAGGTTTACCAGCAATCACCGAAGGAGCATGGGTACGTTCGGCACTGCGATACAGCTGATCGGATACGTTACTTTGATTATTGTCTTTGCGTGGTCCTGTTGCTTATCCTTGATGCGCCCAGTCGTGTGTTGTCCGATGCTCGCGGTGCCTCAGAGTTTGTCAGTTGGTTTCTTGGAGTGCACGTCCACATCGGTAGACCGTCCCTTGCCATGAACGTTGTTTACCATCGAGTTCACGTGACGGCGATCTAGCTTCTTTGCCTGCTGCGACTGCTGCTTTACTGGGCCGCGACGACCACGAGAGCTGCGCAGAGCGTAGGTACGCTCGTCCAGCAGGAGATGTTCGTAGCGCTCCATGGTTGATCGATCGGCTTTGAGTGCAATCTGAATGGTAGGTCTACGAGGAAAGCAAGGTGTCTGGTCTTCTCCTGCTCGTTTTTTAAGACAATACTTTGCTACTGATAAACTACACTGATCTAGACTAATCACTATCTGTATGGTGCTGGTTACGGCCAAAACTGTCTGCTTTATAAGCGCCGAGCGGTGGCGAAGACGTTGAGCTCCTGCGGAGGCTTCGGGGACCCGTAATTTGAGACGCAGCCCACATGCCTGTCTAGCTGAGTAGCTACCTGTGCTCCTGCTGGGCCAGTGATATTTGGAGATAGTCAGATAGTCAGGGGACGCATTTCTTTGCGTATGGGCTGCTGTCACCTGTCAGAAGTCACCGGTCACCTCTCAAAAATGACAAACAGATCAACTGAAGGCGTGGGGAACGATCGGCACTTTAGCTTGGTCCTTAGTCTTACGATCGACACTCAGTTGTAGCGTGGTCTCTGCTAGTCCTACGATCTGCACTCAGCTTGGTCTCTAGTCAAGCGATCGGCACTTATCTTGGTCTCTAGTTTAGTAAGTGGTTTGAGCTCGATGCCAGTACTGGCGCTGCAGTAGGGTTGTGAGAGTGCTCCATGCTGGAAATCACCCAACCGGCTAGCTATTATTAACCGTCGGCAACTGCACAGCTTGTCCAAAGAAATCCGACCAATGCCCAAGTCAAAGGTAGTGCTGTGTTTTCGTTTCGATTACATCATGCACGTTCCAATTACTGATCTGGGGCAACAGGGGCCCCATGAGGCTTGGCCCTATTTTTCGTTCGTGACCCTGATTTCCCTTGGCCAGGGCTGTAGATTACACACACACACATTTCCCATGAAGAGCTAAAAAAGTGAAGGCGTGCGAAATGTACCTCGACAACGCCTGGGAACTGGCCGGAAAGAAAATTACGATGCACTGACTCCGGCGCGATGCTATGAGTATGAGTTTGACAGCGCTGAAGACATGCACCATTTTAGCTTCCGTGTCTTTTTCCGTGTCTTTCCCAGGATGAGGTCAATATGAAATTCCCAGATTAGCTGCTACCAGTACAGGCAGTACAAGCAGTACACCAAGCTCGGATAAGATTACCGAGACGGCTGTACACAAAGGCTACTACTAGTCTTCATTTTTATCACATTCGATCGGAGCGCTCTCCGCTACTGCAGTCTGCAGCGCACGTAGGCCATGGGATTTTCTTCAGCATTGCACATGTGGAACGTCAACCCGTAAACAGACTTGGCAGGTAGGTCACCACCACTCTATTACTAGTATTAGTATGAGCGTGACTACAGTATACTTGTGCGTCACTACAACTTACAAGGATGCTACTGACCGAGCTGAGCCAGACTCTGAATCCGCGAATCTGATAGTTTTTATCAGTGATAACAGAATCTGATTTTTTCCAGCAGTTACAATCAGAGTCGCCATTGTAACTCGTGCTCGATATGGGATCCCGGGAGTACCTGTCGGCAGTAGGTAAACAAATTACATCATGATGCTGTAAAGACTGTGGATTGGGAATAACAAGATTGACAGGTGCGTCTGAATGGTTGGCGGACAGCCATGGCCACACACACGCACGTACGGCAGACGGTACAGTTTCTCCATGGATAAGTGGCAATCAGATCCCCTGATATGCTTTCAGACAAGTCCCTGTCAGGGACAACGTCATAGACTTTGCTCCAAGTGCAGAGTGAAGACATCTTTGCATGTTTACGGCAAGTCACGAACTATGTAGGGTAACAACCATGTTGATTGAACCAATCCCTATGATGTAAACATTCTTAGGGCACTCACAATACCATGACTATAGTGGCATTCCAAGCATTGACGCTGTTCGTAAAGACGTAAACCGTAAGTTGCAGCATGTAGTATTGTTTTCACGATAATGTTATCTACAACTATGCGTTGGAGACACGAAAACGTGAGGGTGCCAGTTTCTAATGAATGGACTGTATTTCTAACGGCTAGATTGATTCAACCATGCACTAGTGTAGTGAACATCTGATATCAGATACTAGTAATGGCTAATCGTTAATGATAGGAGCCTGGCGGGGATTACGACTAGGAACCAAGCAGCTCGATTATGCAGCTCTCAAACCTGACTGATCACGGGAACACTTGTTGCTCAAACCGGTTCCATTTCGTCATTACTCCCACTTTAGCGTCGATGAAACAAGTCTGACACGCATTTTCCAGCATTGGCACAAACGCGGCCACTTTCAGACGTATATTTATAGCGATTGCAGCGTCCGATCAGGTAGTCTTTCCCTTTTCATTTGGCACAGAATGTCAGCAAACCCACACTTACATCGGCAGGAAAGTGGACAGGAAAATCGCGAGCTAGAGCTCCCACGAGGGGAGCAACGCAGAACTACATTATTTATATCAGCAGAATAGTGGACATGTACATGTATGATTGTACTGTGTGTGTGTGTGTAATTGTATTCTTTATTTGAATTCGCAAGTACACACGGACTACAAACCCAGTTACCGTACATGGAAGCGAATGTCAGAATGGAGCTGACTTAGGGGTGGAGGAAGGATGAGGAGGAAGGTTCATGCTTTATGCCTTGTGTCTCGTGTACATGTACCTGCATGGGATGTTGCGTGCGTGCGTGCATGTTCTGTACGTGTACAATCATGCTATTGCTATGCCAATGGGCAAGATTAACAGGACGAGCAGGATTGTTGTCTTGGCTATGGTTTGCATGCCTCTGCTGATTTCAATCAAAATATGCCAGTTCCGTGAACAAACCAAGACAAGGGTAATCGTGCGCACTAATGAGTCCGGTACATTGTACTCATACCATCAACAGTCGAGACCATCTTGGTGTAGTGCATAATTATACTTCGAAGTATCATCCCGAAAAAATGTAAGAGGTTGGTACGACTTCTGCGATACCTAGGTATTGTAACACAACACCTTTCGTGTAATTCATAATAACTGTAGTGTGCTTCTTCATGACCTCGTTACATTTCTGTCACACACCCGTCGAACGAGGAGCACAGATGTTCCCCTGCTTCTTTTCCCGAGGATCATATCTGGCGCTGCCACACGCAGCCCTT